GTTCTTTGTCTTGTCCTGTCCTAACCCTTATCACAGCCCATTAACGCACAGCTCTCTTGCTCGACACAGCTTTTCGCCGCAAATCGCAAACATGTCTGCTCAGGATCGCGTTCAGAACTACATCGGTCAACTCGATCGCGAGGTAAAATTTCCCCTGCATCTTGCTCGGATTGCACGACAATCATGTGCTGACTCCCGTGTGTGGTAGCTGTCCAAGTACCCCGCCCTTAACAACCTCGAGAAGCAGACCAACGTCCCCAAGGCCTACGCCGTCGTCGGTGTTGCCGCCCTCTACTTCTTCCTCATCGTCTTCAACCTCGGCGGTCAGCTTCTGACCAACATTGCCGGCTTCGTCATTCCCGGTTACTACTCCCTGAACGCCCTGTTCACTGCGAACAAGCAGGACGACACCCAGTGGCTGACTGTATGTCCACAAATATCTCCCCCGCAATTGTCACAGCGCCAAACTTACTGACCGTTGTTCTAGTACTGGGTCGTCTTCGCCTTCTTCACGTCAGTATTCCTTGTCCCTTGACGAACAATTCGAGCTAACCGAGATGATACAGCGTTGCTGAGAGCCTTGTCAACGTCGTTTACTGGTTCCCCTTCTACTTCACCTTCAAGTTTGTCTTCCTCCTGTGGCTGTCTTTGCCCGTCTTCCGGTACGTTCCGCCCCTTCCGAGCCGATTTGGCAACCACTAATAACCAACAGCGGCGCCGACATCGTCTTCAACTCCTTCCTCTCTCCCATGCTTGCCAAGTACTTCACTGGCTCCACTGCCTCCGGCCTCCGCGCCCAGGCTGGCAAGGCCGAGTAAATGCGCAATAGCGCCAGCTCATTAAGCAGGTCGATTGCCTTGAGAGATCCACCTACGACGAATAAAGAGCTAGCCCGCTCATCCCGGTTGCATTCGCTAGCCAGTCAAAAGGACATGAAGCAGCGACGCAAGGCACAAACATGACGGGATGGGGTTCAGAGGCTGTCATAACCATACACGTGACAACGGTGATGGCTTTTTCAGGTTTGGTCGAGGGCCCGGGACCGCGAGGGCCGCGACGGAACGGTTGGATAAGTTCCTGTCACCCAGATAAAGTATCTGTACGCTACGGAATACGGAGTCATTGACTTTGAAATGGACTAGAGAGTACCCCATGTGATTAAAGCATCGTGTGACAAGCGAGCCCGTTATCAGTTCTTGATCCGTTGGATTAGCAGGCCGGCAGAGACATGTGACGAGTGTCTCGATTTGACAGTTGTGGCTCAGAGACAAAGAGACACACGAGAAACGACATGTTTCTTTGTCCTGGGCAACTAGAAGACTTGAGTGCCCTCGGGGAAATAGGGAAGTCGGGTGAGCGTCAGGCGTTTAATCGCCAGGGCCTGGCTTTGGCCGCATGCCAGTGCTGCTCTCCCGTGTTCAACATCTACCTTAACTGTCGTTGGCAACCTAAGCGCAAGTCAGGGCTGTGGGGGCTGTATTTGGCACGATTATTCGGGCATTACTGGTGTTTGAGAACTAGCTGGTGTTGCTGCCCACTGTCATTTTGTTGCCCCATTGACGCCGAAATATGTTGGAATTGACGCCCATTACCCGAACGACATTTGGGTATGGCAATGACGACCGAAGATGCAGCGTTCCTGTCAGACCGTATCTTCCCCTTTTCTTGCCTGTCTGGTGCAGACACGGCAGTCCGAAAGACTGGCTGGACCATCCTGTGCACGCCTGCCAGCATTCGAAGTGGTGTAGCGTGAACTCTGGTCAGTGGCCAGCCGCTGGTGACTATGGATGCCAAGAAGATAAAGACCGATCAGAATGCCGACCGCAACACCTCAACCCGTTCCGTTCCTTAGCCTTGGGAGGACATGGGGGTATGTTTTTCAGGGACCTCTCTACCTACCTAGGCGAGGATGGCCCCAGTGGACAGGCCGAGCAGTCCGAGACGCGGAAAGGGGTCCCCCACACTACTGGGGCCCCTGAGCCTTGACTGCCCTGCCTGTAGGGCCCGACGGGTTACCTCAGCCGGGGGTGATCTCCAGCGTGTCGTGCCCAGCAGGGAATGCAAGGTCCACGCCGCCTCTCAGCTGTTTGGGATGTGAAACTCCCTAAAACGACAAAGGCACCTTTTTCACTTGTCCCAAATCCGCCGCTCTTCACCCTACCCGCCTCAACCTCACCGGCCTCCGTTTCTCGTTTCCCCTCGACGATCTCTCCCGAGATCTAACCGAATTCGTGGCTTTCCCCCTCGTTCGAAAAGCCGCTCGACGACACTCGCTGATCGATTAGACGCATGGTGATGGAATGAAGTGGAGGACTCGGCCAATTTGCGACCACTGAGAGCGACCATTCGACACGCTTTGCGCTTATCGACCCTACCTTTGTCCTCGTTTGAAAACACGATAACCGACATCACGACGAACCGCCGCGTCGCCCAAACTTCAAAGGCATCTGCCCCTGGAGGGCATGTCCTCACAATGCAGCTCAGCCCACTGCAATCGCGACTGGCGGCCTCGCTGATTGCGTCGCTGCTGCTACTACTCATCTACTATTTGCTTTCCACTCCCACTTTTGCGCTTGCCGCAGAATTGAGCGAAGGATTCGACCCCATTCTGGACACCATCGAAGCCGACGATGCGCTCGAAAGACGAAGCCAATTTGAACCTGCCTACGAGCCGGAATTCGCCGCCTTTGACCGCAGCATCATTGGAAGGGCGCCCGCTGGAGTGACCGCACTGGTGAACAACGTCAAGATCAACCGCAACGTGCAGGCAAACTCGACGCAAAGCTTCGTATTCGAGGCTATCTCCGTGTTCGCAAACTTTTTTGATAACACGCCCGACGATGCGTTTGTCGTAGAACCGCGCGAGAAGGGCAATGGCTCCGGTGGCCCAGGAGATGATTTGGTTGGAACGGGTGACGCGCTTTTAGACGCAGAGGACAATGTTGGACTACGTCGCCGACAGCAGGCTCAGGGCAGGAAGGTGTTCATCTCTGCAACGACGTGCATTCAACCTCGCCATGGAGCCAACAATACCGGCTCGGATCCCCCGCAGATTACCATGTACGTCTCTACATCGAAGGACAATCAGTCACCCGGCCCCGGGCAAAATTCGTCCTTGCAAACAGTCGAGATACTTGAAGAGGGCGCCGCGTTCTTGACGGTCAACGCGACAGGCGACGTCTTCATTGGGATTGCAGCTCCCGGGGTGGATACGGAGAAGTTCACTGGAGACTGGAACTTTGACGTCGCAGCATCGACGGACGGATATTTCCACGAATTCGACGAGAACCCTTCCGAACTCTTGTGGGTTGACAGTGATTCCAGTGCGGCTCTCTTGACCACTGCGAATTTGACCGATACCCACAATGATACCCTCATCGAGGAGATCATGGCGCAGAGCCCGCCGTTCATCATGTTTGTCGAGAATCGAGACAACCCCACCACCAAAGGTGTTCGGCGCTCCATGTGCGGTTTGGAAAATTACGCTCAAATCGCTGCGAAGACGGGTGGCAAGTTTGGGAATCTGGCCAGTACTGTGATGACCACGAGAGGCGCGGGCAATCTGCCGAAGCAGCAGTTCTTCTTCAACGGCCTCAACGCAAGTGCCTTTTACAACGGCATCCTCGTTCACACTGGCAACTCGACATCCAAGAAGCGACAAGAAGGCGGCAGTTCGGGCAGTGGTGGGCGAGTGTTCCAAGCGACACCGTTTGAGACCAAAGACGGTATGTCTGTCTGCTTTCCAAATATTAAACCACACTAACGTGTTATCAGGCGAAAATTGCAAGATCATCACTGACCTGCAATTCTGCAACGAGACGGAGTATGCCGTGCCGGCAAACTCGAACAAGATGAACATCACTCAACTTGCGCAGTTTTATGACAACTACGCCAAGGAAATGTACGGCAATTTCCAGAAACAGCTTGCGCAAGTTGCCTGTGAAGCACCGGACGTCCAGCGGTATTCACTTGCTCGAAACTGTACGGATTGCGAGATCGCCTACAAGAAGTGGCTCTGTACTGTCACGATCCCTCGTTGCGAGGATTTCACTGCTGCAGAGGCCAACTTCTCACTGGTACGAAACGTAAACCAATCTTTCCCGAATGGCACCCTTCTTCCGATCGACCAATTGAGCAAATACGAAAAGCGGGTTTTCCAGCACTCGAGGAACCCTCTCATCGACGAGATGGTGGCGCCGGGACCGTATCGGGAGATCCTCCCATGCGACTATCTCTGCTACGACTTGGTACAGAGCTGCCCTGCGTCTTTGGGCTTCAACTGCCCTGGGCCGGACGACGACATCTTCAACTCCAGCTACGCTATTCAAGGTGATGGCTTAACATGCAATTACCCCGGCGCGGTCCACAATCCCTCTGCTTCAGCAATATTAGCCGTGTCTTGGGGCCTGCTTGGATTCCTCATGCTAGGAACTCTAGGTACAGTCATGCTGTGATGACTGGATGTGTTGGGGTACCGATGCAAGACATGCTTTATGTTTGTGTAGAGTGACGGCCGAATCTGTATGGGGTAACTGGGAGCACGACGGTACAGTGTAATGATGTTTCTTTTTTGGAGTTTTGCATGGCATCGGCGTTGGAAAGGCATGGGTCTGTTTGGGAGGTGCGTAAATTGATGGATCTGTAATGTTTCAAGAGATATGTAGACCATCTGTGGCATCCACACAACAGTATAGAAGAGTTATAACCGAGATATCTCAATACCCTTGGTCCCTTCTGCGTCATGCGATCTTTCCCGTTTTTCAGGGCGAGGGGGAAACTTGATGCGACCAGACCCTGCACTTTCACAAAGGTGTTGATCCTTTGCGACCTGTGGATGTCCTGCATAGACTCAAGAATCCATACCTAATCTAGGCATGTTGAATTCTCAGCTGGTGATGACGAGTATTCCTGAGGTACTCAGGCATGAGTTCCTCCCCTCTTACTAGCTATCACATTTCATGAGGGATGCTCTTTGGTTTCATGCTATTGCTCCCATCCGCCTATTTGCTCGTCTGCAGTTCGGCGACCTTGGCCTCGAGGCTCTCAATCTCCTTCTTCTTTTCTTCGCGGATCTCGTCCTGTTCCAGCGTCGTCCAGCCCCAGTAGGCGACCTGATATATAAGGGTTGCCATCAAGAGAACTTTGAGGACGGGTCTCGTAAAGGTCTTGTAAAAGGTGCCCTGTCGGCGACGGTGTTAGGGCTCTGAGATGGGAATGGGCCTGGCCACGCGATGCAAAGCAACCTTACCACTATCGATGGCCTCTTTTCGCCACTTTCTGATGTTGAGTAGGAGCGGACTGCTGCGCGGGGCAGTTGTGGTGTGCGCCGCGTGCGGAGGGCTCTGCTGAGGATCGCTGCGCCGTTGCGCGATGCCATATTGGTGATGATTTTCTGGTTGTGTTCGGCTTCTTCCAATATCCTTCCGCCCAATCTGTTTTGTTCGTTCGAATCGGGTCGTCGTCAGATATCGTGTCGTCGGTTCTCGTTGTCGTAAACGTGCAGTATACCGCCGTGTCGTTGCTCGATCAAAAGATTCAATTGAATGCGCCGCTGCGCCGATCTGTGGCGGTGCGCGCCAACGATCCCACCCCGCATAACCCAGGTACCTAAGGTACCTATCTCACTTGGTAGACGCGCTCCCTGTCCGCGTTCCCGCTGTGGCAGGAATTCGCGCCGCACACCTGAAATGTGGCCCCCAAGCTCGCAGTAGGTAGCGGTAGCGGCGGATTGGATTGGATGCTGAAAGCTGGGCTCGGCACCCCTGGCACCGAACAGGTGGCCCCCCGTAATTGAATTCCCTTTTGACGACACATGTCCCGAACTGGGGTGGGTACAACGGTGTAAGGCAGAGAGAGCCCGGGACCACTTGGGAAGGTCCTGAAGGGCGAAAGGTAATGTCCCCCTCTCAGAGGCCCGTCGTCGCAAGGCCATCTTTCTGCCGCTTAATTACACTGTACGAATTGGAGGTAGGTACATTAGCTTCAACCACCTGCAGGTGCCAAAGCTCCCTCGCGCAATCTGTCCCTTCAACCGGCTTCCCTGCTCTTCTCTCGACACGTTCCTCCAGCTTGTAGTCCATTGAACAACACACCTCACACGATCAGCGTTTGTTGCCTGCCATTGCGCATCATTGCAGTACATAAGACGAGCTGATTGACTGCAACAACGACAAGTCGCATTCAGACATCACCGCTCTTCTCTCGCCTCTCCCCATCTTAACACCCACACCACACACATATAATCCACAATGGTACGCAGATCTCGAACATCCCAGCACACGATATAATCCGCCCGAAACTCTACATTCGTCAAAGATCCAAGATGGCGGCTTGCTGACAATGGTTTTTGTGCAGGCGCAAACCCCCCAACAAAGACGCGCGAACGCAAAGTTCGCCAAGGACAACGAGGCCCGCATGGGCAAGTCCGAGGAACAGATCAAGAAGCGCGTCAAGGAGACTCCCAAGTCGCCCATTTCTCCCATCTGGCTCAGTGAGTAGTTGTGCCCCTATCAGCGTCGAAGCAACCCTTGCAGCCAATTCGATCCCGCCTATATCATCACATCATGAGCTTCGCTAACGTCTGGCCTCTTCCAGTCCTTCTCGGTTTTGTCGTCTTTGGCGGCATCGTCTTCGAGGTCCTCTCCCGCATGTTCGGTTTCTAAACGACCCTACCACACCATGCCCGTTTCAAAGCTGGAAGAGGTCATCCCTCGGTGAATGAGGGAAAGTCAATAAGGGGCGAGAGGAGGAGAAAAGCGTCGCAGCAAAGATCTACTATTCTTTCTTGCAGATTATCGTTGCCCATCTACACCAGGCGTCGTAAGGGGGTCGCAAGGGAGACTGCGGACACACAACACGCACTCGCTACGCCGTTGAGGACGAAAAAAGGGGAGCTTTTTACTTTTCAGGCACATGAACCCACACACAGTCTCTCCTGCCCATCGATGGCTGGAAAATCAAGTCTGTACAAATACCACACATTATCAGGGAAAGCAAAACCGTTTGGCGCAATGTATTTCATGTTATTTTATTTTTATTCGCATACAGCTTCCTCGAGTGGAAGAAAGCATTCAAGTTATTCTGCAAACTTTTTGGCTACCTGTCGGTTTGTACCGTACGTATTTTAACCCTCAAAACGCCGCAGCTACGCATCACGCGTCCTCGTACCGTATGACATATCGGAGGCCGCTCCAGTACTAGAAAAGGGGGCTCAAGCGCCAAGACCGCGACGCTGAGCACCACCGTCGTACTTCATGTGCACACCAGCGTTGAACTGCTGCTCAAGCTCCTTGTTGACCTTGCTGATATCGCGCTTGCTCTTGGTGCCCGTGGAAGCGCTCGCCGCGCCCTTCTTGCCGCCGCCAAGGAGACGCATAAACTTCTGCTGACGGTCGGCACCTCCCTCGAGAGCATCAACGTCCCAGCCCTCGCCCTCGTTGGCTTTCGCAGGGGTCTTCTCCTCCTCCTCTTCCTTCTTGGCCTTCTTCTTCTTCTTCTTGTCCTTTTTGCTCGGGGTCTCTTCGGCGAGAGGAGCACCACCGTCCGACTCGTCGTCCTCCTCTTCTGTGCGCTTGCGCTTCTTGTCGGACTTCTTGCTCTTCTTGGGCTCCTCCTCGACCACTTCCTCCTTCTTAGCCTTCTTCTTCTTGTCCTTCTTCTCCTTGGCGGGTATCTCGGCCTCAGCGACCTTCTCCTCCTTCACCTCCTCCTTAACGACGGCAACATCCGACTTCCGCTTGCTCTTCTTCTCTTTCTTGGGCTTCTCCTCTTCCTTCACGTCAACCTCCATCTGCTCCCTTGCCTCGCTTTCCGCGCGGAGCTGTGCGCTCGGGTCCGGGGAGTCGGTCTTCATCTCGACATCCTCCGCCTCGGAGTCAGAGTCGGAGGAATCAGAGTTAGAGTCAGAGTCCGATTCGGAGTCTGATGAAGAGTCGGAGGAGGAGCTGTCGTCGTCGCTCTCGTCGTCGTGAATCTTGATAATCTCGTCTTCGTCCTCGGCCTTCTTGACCTGAGCCTGCTGTTCCTTCGCCGCCTTCTGCAATCCCAAGTCGTCAGCTTCGTGCTCCACCATCTCTCGACGACTGCGTATCAACCATCACTAACCTCTCTGTTCTCGGCCATGACAGCGTGACGCGCGCGCGCCTTCGCCGCCTCGGTCATGAGCTTCTTCGCCTGCGCCTCGAGCTTGTCGGCGCGCTTCAGCATGCGGTGGAATCGCTTGTCGTCCTTGTTGTTTTTTCGCGCAGCCTTCTTGGCCTTGTCGGCGGCCTGGCGCACCGGGTCCCTCCATTTCGCTGCGCGCTGGACGTTGGCCTTGCGCTCGCGCTTCGCCTGGGCCTTGGCGAGCTTCTTCTCCTTGCTGGCAGCCGCACGCTTCTCGCGCATTTCACTTCGATGCTCGAGCTTTTTTTCTGTTCATGAGGCTAAGTGAGTACATTGTCGATCACCAGGTTGACAGGCGCAAGTTTGTAGTTGGGTTAACCTTTGCCCGCCGCCTGACGCTTCAGCGCCTCGAAGTCCACCGGCTTTTCTTCCCCGGTGGCCGTCATCTTGATGCGATTGGCCTGACAGTGTAGGTACAATTGGTGTGTGGTCTTGCGATGTCAAAAAGAAAGCAGTCGAAGGAAGGGAAATTCTCTGGCTTCAATTCTGCCGACAGCGATCAGTTTCGGTGGGGAGAAAGTACACAGGCTCAGAAAAAAAAGTTCTGGGAAGACCAGTTTCTGCCGGGCGGTCAGTGACAATCGACTGTGAACCCTTGTCGATGCTGTGGGGAAGCTGGTCCGTGTGTCATTGAAGTCTGGGCGGTACGTATCGATGTCTGGCCTTCCTCATCCGGCAAGACGGGAGACAGGGCTGAACGACAGTGCCCCTCTTCTCTTCTCGAAGATACGTACGCACGCTACGTCGACACTCACGTACTGTCTCCCAAGCCAGCATGTTGTATCGCGGCTTGTGGATTTACCCTTTCATGCTTAATTCCTTCGTTAAACAGTTTGTTTTGAACTTTCACACACAAGTCTCTTCTCGCGCTGGACTGGGAACTCGAGCCCATGGGGGGGGGGCTCACTCATCTCCCTCCCCAATCGGAAGCCTTGCCCCTCTGCGGGATTCTTGCACGTCTCACACTCACATTAGTACAGAACGCCTCTCACGACGGTTGGGCTGACACGACTCTCAGCCAAGACAGCCTGGGCACTGGGGCCGCTCTCCGTGCGTCTGTGGCTTGCCTCTCTCGGCGACGATGAACACCAAACCCTGTAGACACTGACAGGAGAGTGCATCAGACCGCGCGACTCATCGGTGGGAGGGTTATGTCTCGGCGTTATGTTTAGAACTGCGGGTGCGTGGGTTGCACGCAGGTTGCTAGCTTCACTGGCCTCATGTCGGTCAGAACCCAGAATACCCTCGTATAGCGGGTAGATCTAGAGCAACTTTGATTCAACGTCATGCTCGACGTGTGTAAGGGGATAGGTTGCAGTGGCTAGGCATCCTTGGGCAGGCCAGGCAGTCTCAGCAGTGTGAGCAGTCTTCGTGATCTCAATGTACATGACTCTGGGACCTGGGTGGTTGCAATGACGTCTGGATGAACGATCCTCAGGGTTAGGGTCAGAGAACCGTAGACGTAGGCTCTTCGCAGTCCTTAGGCCGTCTTTTTGTAGCTGTGCTAGCCCGTCCCATGTCCAGAAGTCGCAAAGTATCTTAATATTTTGGAAGCAGAGTTGTCTTTGTCTGTACTGCGTCTTCGCTGTAAAAGTCCTAAATACTTCCTCCACTGGTCGTCCGTTATTCTCTAATCGTCCCTTCGTGTAGATGCTATCCAGTATATCCCCCTATTTTCCCGACCAGAAATGCCCGACAGCGAAAACAAAACTAAGAGGACAAGGCCCGAGAAGAGTTGATCAAACCAATGATTAAAACACTCAAGAAAAATTAATATTTCCGCTCGCTCGAGAACACGAGCTGATCAATGAAATCATTTTTCCCGTACGCGTTTCCGCCTGTTTTATACCTGTTTCGTATATTCATAAGAGGTGAGAGAAGGATTTAAAGAGGGGAGGCTCTATTCGCGGCACAAGCCCAGAAAACAAGCTGGGTAATCGGGTATCTTTCGCGACAACTCCTCGTTCTGGCTTCTTCAGTTCCTGTCCAAACGTTAGCTGCTTGTAGACATATCCAAGGAGGACTATAGCTCATACCTCTGATAGTAACTCTGCCCCTGGCTCTGACTTCCGCTCTGATCATAGTCGTAATAGTACGGCTCTTCGTCGTAGTGGTACTCCTCCCCGCCGCTACTTCCGTGACTGGGCGGCTGGGGGTAGCTCGTCGTGTAGTTATTGCCGTACGTGGTGGTGTACTGTGTATCTTCGTTCACGT